ACTCCTGGCCTCAAGTGATCCTCCTGCCTCAGCCTCCAGAGTAGCTGGGTCTGTAAGTGTGTACTTGCTACCCTTTTTGGCTACCCAGAGTGCTGTTCCCCCAGACATGTGCAAGGCCCCCTCCTTTACTTCTCCGTTGTTTACTCGAATGTCACCTTTTCTCTAAGTCTTTTCTTACCCACCCCTCTAAAAATGTAATTTATCTCTTCTACCAAGATGCTTATTACCTCTCCTCCCTGCATCATTTTTCTCTTTAGAGATTATCTCTAACTTGCTCTTTATTTTACTTACTTGTTATTATTTCTCCCCAACTTCTCCATTAGAATGTAAGCTCAACAAAACGAAATTGCTGTTTTGTTTTGAGTCTGCTTTTATTTATTTTGATATCTCCAAAGCCTAGAAAAGTGCTTCACGCTTAGCAGGTATTTAATAAACACTTGTTGAGTGAATGAATAGGTAATATTAAGTAAGTGTATTAGTCTCCATTTACTGCTGGGACAAATTACCACAAATTTAGTGGCTTAAAACAGCACGGATTTATTTTCTTATGGTCATGGAGGCCGTATTCCAAAGTCAGTTTTACTAGGCTAGAGTCAAGGTGTTGGTAGGGCTGGTTTCTTCTGGATGCTCTGAGGAAAGAATTTATTTCTTTCCGTTTTTCAGGTGCCTGCCTGTATCCCATGGCAACCAAAAAATTCCAGCTTCAGAGCTCATTACTCCAGTCTCTGCCTCCATCGCCTCATCTTTTTCTACTCTGACGACCCTGCCTCCCTCTTTTAAGGACCCTTGCGATTACACTGGGCCCTTTCCTTTCTCAAGATCCGTAACTTAGTCCTATTCAAAAAGTCCCTTTCGCCATGTAAGTTGACCTTCACAAGTTCCAGGGATTAGGATGTGGACATAAATAAAGGGGTTGTTATTTAGCCAACCATAGTGTGAAGCTCCTTTATATTTCAAATGTGCTAATTTTAAAAAATTGTGAATGAGTATTGATTTTATTGGAATACTTCTATATCTATTGAAATAATAATTCATACATTTGCTCTTCTGTAATGTCTTTTAAAAAAAGTTTTATTGTAAAAATGCATTACACAAAATTTGCCATTTTTACCATTGTCAGTGTATGGTTTAGTAGCGTTAAGTATATTCACATTGTTGTGCGACCAATCTTAAGAACTGTTTCATCTTGCAAAACTGAAACTCTATACTCGTTAAAGAATAAGAGCACATTTCCCTTCCCACTAGCCCCAGGCAATCACCAGTGTAATTTTATTTTATTTTATTTTTGATCCAAGATCAACTGCAGACACCAGTGTAGTTTCTTAATGTGGTATATGGCATTGGAAGATTTTTCTCTTGAGCTAAGCTTTTCATTTCTAGGGATAAAATGCTACTTCAGCATCATATATTATCATTTTAAATACAGTGTTGAATTCAAGTTGCAAATATTTTATTTAGGATTTTTTTCATTTATATTCTAGTTGGTCAAGGTGTTCTTTTCTTTTATTGTCCTTGTAAGAGTTATGCTATCCTTATAAATCAAGGTTAATTTTGCCTCATACAATGAAATAGGTAATTTTCCTTCTTTTTCTCTTCTCTGAAAAGTTTGTATAAAATAGAAATTATTTATATCTTGATAAGATTAAGTATCTTAATTAATAAGTTATTATATTATTCAGATTCTCTGTTTCTTCTTGAGCCACATTATTAACATTTTTATAGAAACTTATCTATTTAATATAATTTTAAAATATTGGTTTAAAGTTTTCAAAGGATCTTATTAGGAGTTTTAAAATCTTAAATTATCTCTCCCTTAAAAAATTTGTAATATGGTGTCTGTTCTTATTTTTTTTAGTTCACTTAGCATATTGTCTTTTTTATTAATTTTCCTTCAAGAACCAGTTTTGATGCTAATCCCTTCTAGTTTTTTCTTCTTTTTAGTAATTTCTGCTCTTAAATTTTTAAGATTATATTTTTATTCTACTTTCTTAAGTTTATGCATTTGCTCTTTTTCTAGTGTCTTTAGCTGAAGGTTTTTCTTCATTTTTAAAAACTTCATTTCTTTCCAGATACCTAAGGAAAAAAAAAAACTCTTCATCATTTTTAAACCATTTATTTAAGGCTATAAATTTACCCATAAAACCACCTTATCTGCCTTGTTTGGCTTTTGATATTTAGTGTATTTCCATTTTATTTTTTCCATTAATCTAAATTTATATTGTAATTGCTTTCTTAAGCAGAAATTAGTATTACTTATGAGTATATTTTTAATCATAAGACTTTTCGTATGACTTAAACTTATTTTTCTGTTAATTTTATTGTGCTCAGAAGTGATAATGTCTATAAATCTGTTTTTTTTTCCAAATTTCTGTGATAAGAAATATACTGAATATTTAAGAGGATTGAGTTGCCAAAAGAGTCCCAAGGCTGGCTGCAGTATCCTGTGACTGTCCAACTCTCAGGACAATCCCCAGGTCCCCCAAACTCCACCAGTGGTAAGACAGCTGTGTTATCTTTGCAGCCCCTAGGAAGTATTTACTGTCCACTGTCCATGCCAAATTTGTCATGGAGTAAGATGGGCAAGAAGATCCTCCAAAGGAGGGAATCAGGGCTTCCATAGCAGCTAAGAGGAACTTACTGGATTTTTAAGATATATGGTCCTTGCTATTCCCACTCAGCAGTATATGATATATACTACAAACAAGTGATTACTGAATATTTCCTATTCTGCCCTCTGCCAAACACAAGGCTTTATTAGAGTTAACTTGTTCCTTCTCCACTTTCATGTGCTAGGTTATGCCGTGGACAGATAGCTTAAGCTTTGCTCTAGGAGACTAACTTGTGAGGAGCGACATTTGTACTTGACAAAGAGGACTGCTGATCACCCAGGGATCATGGCCTTGGAGCCGGATGGCATTTTGGGTCTCGTTTTTGGTCAGGGAGGTTCTGTGTAAAGTATATGTATGGGAAGAAGGCGAACATGAATGCTGAGTGGCCAGAGGGGTGGCATCTGGCAGATGTTGCTGGTGGCCTGTTCAAGGACATTCACACCCCTTTCTTGCTTGCTAACGGGATTTTCATTTCATTCATTTGATAGGCAGAGGTCCCCTGATCTCAGGGAAGCAAGGCCAGTCCTTGGACGAGGGAAGAACATAAGACTCAATGTGGTCAGAGATGGAAGGGAAAACCCTGCTGGGAGGATTCTGGGAAACATTTTCCTACCAGAAATGTGAGAAACACATTCCAAGAAGGTTTTGTTCTCCACCAATCTCATTTCTTTCAAGCACCACCATATCATGAGGAGACACCCGGAGCTACGGCAGCTATCATGTGACCATGGGAACAAGGCCCACAGATGCAAAGACATGCTGAAGCATCTGACATCATTTTTTACCTAACTAACCAGGAACCACCTACTTTGGGTCCATTTTTATATGGAAAAAAATATCTATTTAATGAAGCACTGTTTTGAGGTATTATGTTATTAATAGCTGAAAATATCCTGACACACCAGTGGTGAGGGAGACTGAATTTATTAACCAGAGCATGACATGGCTGGACCTGGAGGCTACACAAAAATGGATGTCTCCCAGTCCTACAGGCTGCCAAAGGACGTAAATATATACAGTACACTGCATACACGGGGAAGCTGGTTCCTACTACTTTCGGGCCTTAGGGAATCGCAGACTGTTCCTGTGACAGCTGTTGTAAAAAGCAGTGATGCTCAAACTTTCAAGTAGCTTGTGCCTGGGAGTTATGATCCTTCTTGCAGAGCATCAAAAATTATTAAAACTTTTAACTTTAGAATAATCTAGAATTTTGTGCTAAATTAGATACAAATGTACTATATTATATTTTTGTATGGACATGAAAATGTCAGAAAATTGAAAGGAAAGCAAATGAGAAATACATTTGAAAACATTCTCTCCATTAAGTTGAGTCCTCCTTTCCTTTTGCAAATTGGGGAACTTTACTCTGATGATTAACTTTATGTGTCCACTTGGCTAGGCTATGATTCCCAGTTGTGTGGTCAAAAACCAGTCTGGATGTTTCTGAAGACACATTTTTAGATGTGATTAAGTTTTGCAGTAAGTTGACATTAAAGCATTAAAACATTACCCTTCATAATATGGGTAGGCATCTTTCAATCAGTTGAAAGCTTCAAGGTCAAAGATTGCAAACAAAAACTATGCCAAAAAGGAAGGAATTTTCCTCAAGACTATAACATAAACCCTGATTAGTTTCCAGCTCACTGCTCTGCAGAATTCGGACTCCAGGCTGCAGCATCAACTGCTCCCTGAGTCTCCAGCCTGCTGGCCTGCGCTACGGATTTTGAACTTGCCAGCCCCCGCAATCAGGTAAGCCAGTTTCTTAAAATCAATCAATCAATCTCTCTTTGAGTTTCTTTGGAAAACTTTGACTAATACAACCTCCTGTTCCATGATTTTGTTCGCATAACAGCTAAATCCAATTCAATGGAAGCTACAGATTTTTAGTGCTTAAGGAAAATATATAGCTACATGAAAGGAAAAGCAGTAAATAGTACTCAAGAGGTTTAAGATATAATTGTCCGCACTTGCTCTCTGACACAGTGTTACTTCAGGTAATTAATTGTTATACCAAAATCATTATGTCAAATGCATATTACATGTTGACAAAATTTTCAGCTGACTTTAATAGGAGAAATAGAAATTTTAGTAAAGTTAAATGAAAATATCTGGAATATTATTTTAAAAATTATTAAAAATACTCAGAGGATTGAAGACCATTAAAAAAATGATTAAAAAATTATAAAAAAAAATAGAAGGTCTGTTGAAGGAAGAAATGCGGTAGTGTGCGTGTATGTTGCTGAGCCGGCAGGGCTGCTCGGTTATAAAGAAAAAAGAAACAATGAAAGCGGTGAAGCACGCTCAGAGCCACAGCCCTAGAGTTGGAATCCCTCTAACAGGCAGATCTAGAATAGAGAAAAAAGGGAGTGAGCTTTCAAGGAGTCTAAGGAAATGGCTAAGATGAAAGAGAAGGAACATAAGAAAGCAAATCTGAACAGAGATAAGCAGGTGAGGGGGCACAGAGATGAGAAGAGAGGGGTTCCAAGTGGATCACAATTTGGGGACAATAAGGTGAGAGGATTTAAGACGTTAGATGCTACAGACATAATCTTTTCTTTGAGAAGGGAGATGAAAATTCGAAGAGCTGAGAGACAGGGAGGAGTCTCCTCTGTTTTTGCCTGACTCCCCGGGGAGCGCCAGCCTGCTGCTGCAGCTCCAAGGGTATTTTCACGTATTTACACTCGCTGCGCCATCTGTTATTTCCCCGCCTGGCTCATTACAAAATCCCACTCCATGCTAGGGCAACTGAAATCTCTATACCTTTTATTTACTCTCTCTGAGAATGCATACTGTGAATGTCTAGGAAGTTCGCAGTGCAGACACCTATCGTTCCGGATCCAACGTGGGTGGCGCCCTGGGTCAGGCCGTGGGACTGCAACCTGTCTCCAGTGGCAGCTCATTGGCACATTGCAGCTGGCTTCTGCCTGGCCCAGATGAGGAGGGGCAGTTTTGGAGTGATCATAAACAAATCCTTCAGGGGAAACTAGAGGAATGTGAGAAGGGAAAAATAAATGTGGACATATCACAACCATCCTAATTATATCAAAAAAGCTGGAATTTGCATTGAAGATCCTGCCCCGTTGCATTAGGTAACTGTGTGGAAATTAAACTTGAACCCCAGTTTAACCACTTCGAGTCTCTGAACCAATTTTCCAAAGTCAGTTTAAAGGTAAATGTTTAAATTCACATCATAAACTCACATAGAAGGGAGAGAGGGAAGGAGGGAGGGAAGGGATTAATATATTAATGCTGACAAATCTTGCAATTAGAATGTACGTGAAGCTTCTTTACATATCTTCTCCAGATTAAGAGTTTTATTTTGAGTAGGGCAGGAAAAAAAAGAAAGTGCATAAATCATTATAAACTAAGAGTTTCTAATCTAAAGGCATTTGTTTTCATTCAAAAGACCCGCAGCAGCAGGGTGAACTTAAAAAATCTGCAGCAAAGTCAATGTGTGGAGTGCAAGGGCCCTAGAGCTTCCGTCAGCGTGCAGCTCTCTGGTCAAAGCTTCCATCACAGTTTCTGTCAAATGGCCTCGTGACGCTCTCTGATAAGGACGGAGGCAGCGCTGAACCGTTTAGACAAAACTACTTAGTCCTGGTCCTGAGGAAATGCTGTGGCTTAAGATTTAGCTCAATTGCTCAACTCACATCACCTCACTTTGCTCCTGGGAAGACAACTAAGAAGGAGTGCAGATGTCAGGATGAAGAATAGAGTATATAAATCCCCAAATGTATATAAGGTATACCATATAAATTTATATATACATATAAATGCATAAATGTAAATCTCAAACGTAAATGTAGAAATCTCAAAGGATACGTTTGTGATTTCTGTCCTGTCTCTATCACATAAGAAACACAGTTCTCAGAGAACCGCCACTGGAGTATAAGCATTTAATCCTTGAAATAGTAGACAGATTCTGGAGCTCAGAACAGAGAGACGACATTGTTACAAAATCTGCACAGATCATAATATTCTACAATAAACTGTCTTCAGTTCATTTAAATGTATGGTTTTTGATTTGGGGTTATTTTTTCTTAAATAGTGGAAAGAAAGGTTAGTAACTGCAGAAGTCCATATCCCTTTAGAGTTATGGTTGTCATTTGATTAGTTTTGTCTGTCGTACATATATGGACTCCTAACTTTTTACCACTTTAGTATTTTCTTTTTTGTGCATTCTATAGTATTTTTTGGATGATGGAGACTTTCTAAACCCCTATGAAAGGAGCACGTTTCCTCGACTTGAACTGAAAATTAGTTCTCATTATTTTTCCTGCTGTGTAATGTCTTAGTTTCGGGTCAACAGAGAGCAATAAAAAATAACCAGCAAACTAAGCAAAAAAAAATATATATATATATATATATACACACACACACACACATGTGTATCAGTGTCTGATGAATTAGACTATATTTTCAATAGACAGATGGCATCTTGAATCCTAATACTTGCTAGGATGCCTTCTGTGTGCTATTCTAAAGGGTGGAAAATGAAATGGAGCACTCCAAGATCATGTCTGCAGTTTCCAGCAGCATCAGCAGGAGTGTGAGATAACTCTTCCTCTCAGTCTGCTGAACTTGTACTTGGTTAGCCTATTATGCTATATAAAGAAAACAACAAAAAAAGCATGCTTCAAGTGTGGTGTCTGCCACATTTTTCCAGACTGAGAAAGGGCACTAGACTGTTTGCTCAAGGATATAATTTTGCCCTTTGTCTTAATTAGCAGTTGGAAGACTGCAAGACATGGAACTGGGGTGACAGAAAATAAATGCATGTTCACCTGCAGCACATGTTCCAAATTAAGTTATTTTCTCTTCCTTTGAGCCTGCTGTAGTCATGTTAGAAAAAGAATTTTTGATTTCAGAATATGAGAGAGAATGTTTGAATCAGAAAGGTAGTGCCTTATGTAAGTATGGAGATCTGTCTATGAACCACCATTTTTCACTCTCTCCATTCTCTTTTCATCTACAGTCATAGCTTTTAACTTTGTAATTACTCAGAGTTTATTTGTAAAATGAGCAAGTACTGCCTCTGACCTTTGAAAACCACAAGGCACTGCAGAAATCTACATGTTACTGTTTTGGTTTTAATTTTTACTGGCTTTGAAATTTGTATGTAGAGTCAGACTAGAGTCTGTGATATCCAGAAGGTTAGTGGAGTCACGATACCAGGCCATTAGCTGGAATTGCAAAATGTCCTATTAGATATTCAAATAGCAAATATTGAGCACCTCTTCCATGGCAGGGCTGCATTGGCATTCACCTCTGAGGAGGGTTACCAGATTTAGCAAAAAATAAACAAAAAGCAAAAGGAAGCAAACAAAAAACATGGCAGGATACCAAATTAAATAGTTAAATTTGAATTTCAGATTAACAATGAATCTCTTTTCAGTGTAAGTATGTCCCACATATTGCATAGACACACTCAAAAATGATTTGTTGTTTACCTGAAATTCATATTCAACACAGCATCCTTTCTGTGGCAATCCTTTTAAAAGATAAAAAGTCATAATCCTGATCTTGAGAAACTTCCTGTAGTGAGGACGTCACTATGTAAGTGCCGCTGGCCAGGGATCCTGATTCAATCTTCTGCATGTAGCTAACCAGTTTTCCCAGCACCATTTATTGAAACATATAAAAAAATGCTCACCATCTCTAATCATCAGAGTAATGCAAATCAAAACCACAATGAGATACCACCTAACCCCAGTGAGAATGGCCTGTGTCAAAAAATCCCACAACAACAAATGCTGGTGAGGATGTGGAGAGACAGGAACATTCTTACACTGCTGTCGGAACTGCAAATTCGTGCAACCTCTGTGGAAAAGAATTTGGAGATACCTCAAACAGCTAGAAATAGAAATACCATTCGACCCAGCAATAGCATTATTAGGCATCCACCCAAAAGAGCATAAGTCATTCTATTATAAAGACTTTCTCTTGCTGCTCTAATCTGATAAATGGTTATTTATAATGTTTTCTGACATGGTATTTGGTTTTGGGTATCTGTTACTTTGGCATTATTCTTGTTTGCCTCTTTTTATTTTTGCCAGTGTACTATACCTCAGTCCTATTTGAAAGACCTAATCGAAAGAAAAGTCATAGAAATAATAAGTAAAATGATTTGTTTTATAATTTATCCCCCATGTCCAGTTTGGTTAGTTTGTGTTATGCAATAGAAGTGAAATATCAGGTTTTTATCCCTGTGCCCTTTTTATCATTAAAATTAACACACACACACACACACACACACACACACACACACACACACAAAAAGACATCTGCACCCGAATGTTTATGACAGCACAATTCACTATTGCAAGGACATGGAAACAACCCAAGTGCCCGTCAATTCATGAGTGGATAATCAAAATTTGGTATTTGCTCACAATGGAATATTACTAATATTACTAATATTACAATTCTAAGAAACGACAGCGAACTAGCACCATTTATGCTATCCTGGATTAAGCTTAAGCCCGTTATCCAAAGTGAGACGACACAAGATCAGGAAAATGGGCTCCACATGTATTGGTACTGGCTGATTAAAACTGTGGTGCTCAAATGGTGGTAGTGCTCACCAGGGATTCGGGGGTGGGGGGACCCACATCTTAGGGATGTGGCGAGCACTGTGGAGGGGGAGGGCTTACCTCTAACCCTTCTAAGCGAGAGGCAAAGATATAAAATGTAACCAAAATGTCAAAAAACATAACAAAACAAACAAACAAACAAAAAACGTCTATCGGGTGTCGGGCAGGTGGGAGGGGGCGGAGGGGAGGGGTGTATACTTACATAATGAGTGCCGTGCGCACCACCTGGAGGATGGACACGCTTGGAGCTCAGACACCAGAGGGGGGGATGGCAAGGGCAATATATGTAATCTTAACAATATTTGTACCCCCATAACATGATGAAATAAAAAGAGGAAAAAAATGCCGCTGGCCAGAGCTGCTGGCGGTGGAGCAGCTTCCTGAGCACGGAGGAAGGTGCAAGCCAACCGGCTATGCCCATCATTGTCCTCTCACTAGAAAAATGCCCACAGGCTGCTCAAAAATAGTTAGCTGTATGCTGAGGCTCTTCAATCCTACCTGAGTCTGATCATCTCTTCTCCAGGTCTACTCTTACCAAGGTCAGCATCTCAAAAATGGCACAGACTTGGACATGAATAAATAAATCAGTTCATCTGATCTGAGTGAGCCTTTGGGAACCCTCCTCCTCTGGGTGTATCTAACTGGGAAGATCCCAAAGTCAAATATTAGATTCTGATTGTAACTAACACATAGCGCAAGAGCAAAAACTCTTATCTGATCTGCAAGTTGTATTCAGTCGTGTGTTTTACTTACTACCTTTCAGAAATGGATGGTACCACTGTAACCACACGTCTATATTCTCTACCCAAAACGCACACATGCCCTAGCTGCTTCTTTATCTAAATGCTGAATTTCTGTCTTGTCTCATAGTGGCCGGACTGTTGCCCCTCAGACGGAGAGGTGGGAACAGCGTGGAACTGGAGCTGGAATTTCTGGAATCTAGTCTTAGCTCTGCCTGCTATGCTCCCTGGCTTGGTTCCTCAGACAGCTATAAAATTAGATTGTTGAAATAGATGACTTACGAAATTCTTGCAACTCTCAAAATCATAGCTCTCAAACTAAGAAATATAGACCGAACCCTGCATTTGTCCTCAATGTAAAGCTGGAGTTCCAAACTCAAATGCCTGCAGGGGTCAGTTCGGTAACTGAACGAGTGACACACCAGATGGATATTTGGACAGCGTGTGCTTTCCAGGCTGGTGGCTGACCTTCTGCTCCAGACAGCGCTTATGGTGAAGGCATGAGGGCTGCTCCGGCTAGATATTTAAAAATCAGCAAGATATTTACAAAGCTTAAAATGTATATTTTCACATAAAATTTCCTGATTATTAGGGGACAGTAATTAGTGCAATATTTTAAAAGTTCTATGGGAAAAAATCCACCTGTGGTTGTGGTCTTTAGGGGTCTAGTTTGTCCCTGATGAAAAGCAGCATGTCAGTAAGTTTTATTTCCAGGTTTCAAATCACTGAAGTTTTTGTCTTTATTTATATCCTCTTTTTTATGTTCTCAAATAATGTGTAGATTTTGAATACAAATTCTAGAATTTGCATGTGTGTATAAGTGTTGTTCTCTTCCAGTTAGTGACCTTGTAAATAACAATGATGATTAATGCCTATGGAGGATTAATACAGTCTGAAAAGTGCTCTAAGTGTGTATGTATATTTTCATTTAATCTTAAACAAAATCCTGTTAGATAGCTGTTATTATTATCCCATTATACAGTGTTTCAGTTAACCTTTGCTCTTTAAGAAACCGCTCCAAAACTTAATGACTTAAAATAACAATTTATTATGTGCAATGACTGTGTTGTCAATGTGGTTGCTTCTTCTGCTGGTGTCACCTGGGGTCGTCCATGTGGTGGTGTCATACGATGGCTCACCTGAGGCTGGAGGGTCCAGGATGGCATCACTCACACGTCTAGCTATTGGCTGTCGGCTGGGGTAACACATGTCTTCTCCTCATGGCCTCTCCTCCTCCAATAGGTGAGACGGGGCATCTTCATAGCACAGGGGTATGATGTCAATAGGGTGAAAAACAAAAGCTGCAAAGCCTCTTCAATGCCTAGGCCTGGAATGTCACATCCACTACTCGTGGTCTAACCAGTTCAAAAGGGCAGCCCTGAGTCAACAGGAGAGGGCCCTATGCAAGGGCACTTGTTCAGGGAGGTGTGTTTCATCCCAGGCCATTTGGTGACGATCTACCATATACAGATACCTAAACTGAGACATAGCTTGAATAGCTTGCCTTAGATCATACTGTTTTTAATTAGTAAACTTCAGGTTTAAAATTCACATAGGCCTCTCACTGTTACTTCAGGCCAAAGGTTGTTATTCTGGTAATGTTACTATTTATCCAGTGTCACTTCCTTGAAGGATTACATTTATTTAGGTGTAGAAGTTCTTGCATCTTTGTTTTTAAAATCACCTTATAATTATTCTTGGAATGTTCATTCATTTAAAAAGCTACTTATGAAGAATTTTAAACTACTATAACATTAATACCTAATGTTCTGCACTTTGGTTTAAATGCCCAAAAAAATGGTAGAAAAATATGGATTCACATTCAGATGTTTATTTTTGCCTTTATAGATAGAAAAATGACTTAAATGATGCAGAATCTATTGCATCCATTCATTCCATCTAGAACAAAGTGAGGAGGGGGGAAGGATGTTTTCAATTCATAAGAAAAATCAATCTGTAAATGTAGATAATTCTGACAAATGCATTATATCAGTGTTCTTAGCTAGTCTTTAATGGGGTTAAGTGTGCATTTTGAGACTTGAATGTATTATTGGAAATGATTTCTCCAAGCAAACAAAGATTTCATATGCTAGAAAATTAAGTTTTAGACTAGCATGTCTGATCAGACAGATGCAATATCATCTCTTAACATGCTAGAAAAAATATTGGGACACTTAATGCAAACCAAAAGGACTGTTCCTTGATAAAGTTGACTGAGTGCTCTATTTTGAGATACAAATCAACCTACAAAATTGGTTTAAAATACATTATTAAGTGTTCCAAAGTTGACCTAATTTTCTTTATCAAGTGGTAAAAAAAACTAGTTTCATTTTGATTGGTCATCAAAATGAATTATAAGGAAGCAATTTATTTACATAAATTGCTTTATATAAATAAATTGCTTCCTTTCTCCAAATGGTATTGCATATTTTTTTGTGATTCTGTTTAGATTTGTATACAAGGGAGCAAACTAAAGAAATAGTTACATTAGAATGGGTTTCGCAGGAACCAGAGAAAGTAGAAAACCTCTGGGGCTATGTGGAATTTTCAAAATTTGTGAGATGTCAAAGTTTACGATTTTAGGCAAAGACACAAGATTGTACTTATTCACTTCTTAGAGATGAGAATTCTTCTGTTTCTAGGATAAAATACAGGAAAGCTCAGGGGCTGTGTGTTCCCATTCCAGCATTATCACCTGACAGCTTTGAACTTGTCAAATAACTATATCCTGGTTTCTATCCTGTATAATGGGTATAATTACATGAGCTTGCCTTAGGGACAGAAAAGGATATTTTTGTTCTTCCGTAGATTTAAAGTAGCCTTGGGTGACTGGGTACGAAGATGACAGGCCTCCTTGTGGAGTTGCTTTGGCCTTAACTTTGTGTGGCCCGTACTGGACGGTGTGAGTGGAGAGCAGATGGGACAGAGGTAGCGGTGCTGGTGCTCGTGGAGCTGGAAGGGTGACTGACTCTGTGACCTAGGGTCCCTGGGGCCATGTCCCCCTCTGCTGTCTTGTGAGTCCGCACCTGTATGGAAAAGTCCACCAACTTCCAGTCTATGGCATAGCTCATGACTGGACAGATGTGTGTTCTTATAATAGAGACAAGGTAAACTGAACTCATCTTTTTTTTTTTTTTTTTCTGGGAAGCCTTGATTCTGTCTCAGTATACTATAGTAGAAAACTTGGTCCAATATACAAATACCTAATTAAAGAGACACGGTCCCAGATTTTGAAGGAAATGGATGTGGGCACTTAAACGCTTAAAGAGTACCGTGAAAACACTAGAAATCTTTAAACTAGGCATTCTTCATTTAATTAATAAATATTTATCAAAAATCTCTTATGTTTGAGTACTGAATGCGACATTGGAGATCCAGTGATGGACAAGATAAGATGTGGTCTCTATGCTCATGGAGCTTGTATATGAGATGCTGCTAGCTTCAGAAGGAGAAATCTAATCCTCACCAACATCAGTTGAATAAAAACCATCGCCAGGATCCAGAGGAGCCAGAGAACAACAGTCTTCACATGACATGATTCCCAACCACATAATAATAAATGCAGCAGTCTACTTACACAGACTGCCTTCTTTTATGTAACAGGCACATGTACTACAGTTTATTACAGCCTCCATGCAAATAATTTTCGCTAAAATATTCCAGAGGGCCAGGTTTAGGAATAAAATAGAAATGCATCTGTATTTATTTGCATATATTTGCATCAACATTGTACATTTTTCATTGAAAAATTAGAATTTTCAAAAGTTACCTCAAAAATGCAAGTTTTGGCAGCAGTGCATACAGAGTAGCCTGTCTGGGCAGGGAGTGGGCCAGGGCGTGAGGTCCCCTCTTGGCTGTGCCCTCCATGTGGGTTGGGGGCAGGTGGGTGCCTTAGAGAAAAAGAGCTTCTTGCTGTCCTTCTCCACTTTGGATGCAGAATTTGTTGGTGTGATTGGATATTTAGAGGACATCAACATAGGTTACGAGTTCCAGTTATTATAGAGAAATTTCATGGACAAGCACTACCAGGAATTTGAAGACACAGACAAGAATAAACTCACCTACCCACCTATTTTTAATGAAAACATTTCTTTAGTGGAAAAGTATATCGAGGAAGAGCTGCCGGATCAGATTCCTGGATTTAACACAGTGGCTTTCACAACAATGCTACAGCACCGGAAAGATGAAGTGGCTGGTGACATATTTGACATTCTGCTCACATTTATAGACTTTTTGGCTTTTGAAGAAGTGTTTCTGGACTACAGAGCAAAAAAGGAAGGCCAGGAACTGGTCTTAAGCGGTGGTTTAGTGGTGATTTCATTGTGCAAGTCATCTTCTATGCCAACTTCCTAGAAGGGCCTGCGGCACTAGTTCCTACCTCCAGCCAATTATGAATGGGATTATCCTGGCAAAATTATTCCACATCAGACCCCTCTGGAGCAAGCCCATGTCAAGCATTCCACCTGGGAGGGGGGGCTTCCCCCAGCATACATGTTGGTGTGTCAATATAACCCATCATCATGAACTCTATTTGTCCCGGCAGGCTCTGCATGAAGTTTTTTTGCATTCACAGCTCTTTTTCACATGGGTCAGAGTTTCAGTCCTTCATCCTCAATGGAATCTGTATTTATCTAAGATGTGACTCTAGCCAGCTGCCTGCCTGGATATTTCTGAATCACAGCTTGTCTTGGCTGAAGGAACCAACTGAAAGGGATGCCCTTTACCTAAAACTGCACGTGAAAATCAACTCTCTAGTCTTACCAATTGCAGCCCTTGTTTTTACTATGTCTTCTGCTGGTCCTAGTGTAGTCCCACTGTTTCTAGAAGTCTCTTTTAAGCATTATTTTTGAAAAAAAATATTTTTATGGGCTAATCTAGCGGATATGATCTTGGAACTTCCATAATTATTTGCTTAAAGATCAAAGTATTATATGCTGTGCGCTTTTTAGTTGTTAGTGCTATGAAGGCAAAAATGCTTGCTATGTTGCCATTCATTCCTGTTTTACTGGGCACCAATGAATATATGCTGTTTGCTGGAAATTGACTAAAAGGTATCCTGTTCTTATACCATGTTAAATGTATTTGTGCATGTTTGCTGAAAATACTTTCTGTATTAACCAGTTCGTTAGGTTTTCTGTTGAGGTGGATAGGGACTCTTACATTTCTTCGTCTGATCAAAAGCTCTCCTACCAAGATGGTGTCCCACTGGTGTAGCTCAGACTGAGTAGGAGGTAGTAAACAATTTTGCTGGTCATTTGTCTGCCTCGATTTAATACAATGGTAGAATATAACTTATCAGAAAACATGTATGACACATCTCTAAAAAGAAGAAAAAACAGTAGTTCAATTCCAATATGTACCTTTAAATTTTTTTTAAGTAAAAATAACAATCCATACTGACTTTTCACTAGGGATTCTGGTTTTAAAAGGTGAGCTAAAAGCGATGTGTTTACAGTATGTCTATACTGATGTGTCGATTATTAAATACTATTGTACCATGAAAGAAAATGCAAGTTTTGAAGTTTTCTTCTCTCATTGCCTTCTTATAATCCTTTTCATGTTTTTCCAAGTATCCAACTCAGAAGTTTGGAATAAATATTTTAAAGGTTTTCTTCACTAACCATATTAAAAAGATACAACATTTGCCTTTTTAAATGTCATAGATGTGCAATCCTGCTGAAATCTGAGCCAGAGAAAGTGATAACTGGAGTAATTATAGAGTGTCTAGTGCTAGGGAATGATAAAAGATAAAATAGTGGGTTCCACATCCCATCCTTCTAAATTGGGCCAAAGATTTGCTTCCGTTTGTAAGCCTCCTCATGTCTAGACAGAATAACAAGCCTCCGGTGCATTTTTAAATAGTTCAGTCTTTCACTGGAGTTTCAGCTCTGTTTTTGTTTTCCAATCATGGTTGTTTTAATAGCTAACAACAGCAATAATAAAAACAGTTATCATATGTTATTTCCTTGATATATACTAGTCACTTTGCTAACTGCCTTTGTTGTTTTACTTAATTGACAGGAAAAACAATCCTAAAGGTAGGTGATGTAATTATATTCACTTTCAGATGAAGAAACTGAAACTTACAGAAGTGATCTGAACAAAGATATAGAATTAATAAGTAGACTAGCCAGGATTCAAAATAGACCAATCTGATTCCAAATCAATCTGATTCCAAATGTTCATCTCTACCTTGTTAAGAAAAGCAGTAAGACAGAAATTAAAATAGAACATATCATACATGTGAGAAAAACAAACTCAAGCCATTTAAACAGGAATAGAGATGGGATTTAATATATATGTGAAATGTCTATGTAAAAGTATGATTATACATTCTTTATATAAACTATAGGCATACAGAAATATAGGCAGTAAAATAAATTGTTTTATTCTTACTCTCGTTATTGAAAGTAGCAGTTTAGAAAAGAAAAGCAAAATCTAAATTATCAGCCAGTTTATGACACCAGCATTACCTGATACCAAAACCAGAGAAGGATACCACAAGACAAGAAAATTGCAGGCCAATATGAATACAGATATAAAATTCTCAACAAAATACTAGCAAATGAAAATCAATAACATATTTATAGGAGCATACACCATGATCAGGTGAACTTTATCCCTGAGATGCAAGTATGGTTCAACGTATGCAAATCAACAAATGTGATATACCATATTAACAGAGTGAAAGATAAAACCCATACGATCATCCCAATAGATGTAGACAAAGCATTTGAGAAAATTCAACATCCTTTCATGATAAAAACTCTCAACAGGTAGGTATAGAAGGAACATACCTCAACATAATAAAGGTCATATATGACAAGCCCACAGCTAACATCATACTCAGTGGTGAAAAGGTGAAAGCTTTTCCTCTGAGACAAGGAAAAAGACAGAGATGCCTACTCTCCACTCCATTCAACATAGTACTGGAAGTCCTAGCCAGAAGAAGTAGGTGAGGAAAAGAAATAAAAGGCATCCAAATTGGAAAGGAGGAAGTAAATTTGTCTCTGTTTGCAAATTTCATCATCTTATATATAGAACCTCCTAAGGACTCCATCAAAAAACAGTTAGAACTAATAAATGAATTCAATTAATTTGCAAGATACAAAATCAATGTACAAAAATTAGTAGTATTTCTATATGCTAACAATGAACTGTATGAAAAAGAAATGAGTAAACAATTCCATTTATAATAGCACTAAAAATCATTAGGAACAAACTTAACCAAGGAGGTAAAAAATCTTACAGAGAAAACTATGAAACACTGATGAAAGAAATAGAAAAAGATGCAAATAAATGAAGAAATACCTTGTGTTCATGGATTAGAAGATTTAATATTGTTTAAATGTCCATATTACCCAAAGTGAACTACAGGTCCAACGCAACCTATCAAAATTCAATGATGTTTTTCACAGAAAAAGAAAAAAAATATTAAAATTTATATGTGACTACAAAAGACCCCACATAGCCAAAGCAATTTTGAGCAATCTTGAGCACTGCCTAATTTCAAAATACATTCAAAGCTATAGTGATCAAAACAGCATAGTACTGGCATAAAAACAGACACATAAACCAATGGAACAGAATATAGAGAGATCACAAATAAATTCATGCATTTTTAGTCAATTTATATTTGACAAAATTGCCAAGAAGACACAATGGAGAAAGGATAATCTCTTTAACAAATAGTGTTGGGAAAACTAAATGTTGACATGCAGAAGAATGAAATTGGATTCTTATCTCACATTATATACAATAATAAACTCAAAATGGATTAAAGACTTAAACATAAAACCTGGAACTGTAAAACTAGTAAAAGAAAAGAGGGAAGAAAAAAATTTTTGATGTTGGCCTGGAAAGGATTTTTTGGATGTGGTCCTAAAAGCACAGGCAACAAAAGCAAAAACAGGTGAATGGAATTGCATCAAACAAAACTTCTACTGAAGAAAAGGGAATGCTTTTACACTGTTGGTGGGAATGTAAATTAGTATAGTCATTCTAGAAAACAGTAGAGAGGTTTCATAAAAAATTAAAAGTATCTCACTACACTGGGTATATATTCAAAGAAAATCATTCTATCAAAATGATATCTGCACTCCTATATTCATTGTAGCATTATTCACAATAGCCAAGATATGAAATCAACCTATGTGTCCATCAACAGATGAATGGATAAAGAAAATGCGGTATATATACACAATGGACTATTATTCAGCCTTAAAAATGAAAGAAATCTTGACATTTGAAACAACCTGGATGAACCTGGAGTATATTATGGTAAGAAAAATAAGCCAAACACAGAAATACAAATATCACATAATCTCACTTATATGTGGAATCTAAAAAAATTGAACTCATAGAAGTAGAGAGTAGAATAGTGGTTACCAGGGGCTAAAAGTGGAGATTTGGGGAGATGTTCAACAAAAGGATAAAAAATTTCAGTAAGATAGGAAGAGTAAGTTAAAGAGATCTAACATACAACATGGTGACTACAGTTAATGTACAGTTGATCCTTGAACAACACCAGTTTGAACTGAATATAAGGTCCACTTACATGCAGATTTTTTTCAGTAAATACAATAAGCCTTTCATATCTGAGGGTTCCATTGGCACAACTAAATGCAAACTGTTGATGCAAAACCTGTGTATATGAGGGCCCACTTTTCCTATATCTGGGTTCCACAGGACCAACTGTGGGAATTAAGAGTGTGTGGATTTTGGTATATGATTGTATTGTGTTTCTGAAAATTTCTGAGAGCACATTTTAAGTGTTCTTACCACTGGGGAGGGGAATAAGTATGTGAGTTAATGCATAGGTTAATTAGCTTCATTTAGCATTTCACAATGTATACAAATTTCAAAACTTTTTACATGTAGAATCTAAAGAGTTGAACTCACAGTAGCAGGGAATAGAATGGTGATTGCTAGAATCTGGGGAAGGGGATGGGAAAATATTGGTCCAAGGGTACAAGTTTCAGTTAGGATGAATAAGTCTTGGAGATCTGTTGTACAGCATGGTTATTATAGTTAATAATATATTGTACACTTGGACTAAAAAGTACTTTGTACGTTTCCCAAAAATTATCAGCCAAGAAGTACTACATAGGTAGGTAGGTCTAGAGTACTAAATCAGCATGCTGGCCCTTCTTACATGGTTGTTCAATGTCCTAATAAAGCACACCTGCTGCTTGAACTGAGAGTTTCAACACTTACTGGTACCAATATGAACAATTCTTAAATTAAAAGAATCATAAAAACTACACGTTACAAAGAACAGAATTAAAATAACAATTGTAAGCTTGGATTATTCAGTTACACCTTGATTTTTAGCCCTTTTAAATCATTTTGTTTTGAAAGAAAATAGCAATTTTCATAATTTAGGAACTGGTTGGTTTACAGCTATCCTCGGATCTACCAGAAATATGTTCTTGTTTAGACTCTTGATAAAATGTAATGGAAATCATCAGACCAAGAAGAGG